AAATTTTGACTTTGAAAAACCAGCACTAAAGTTATATGAAGTTTCTTGCAAGAGCTATATCATTCTTTTTAGTACTACCGATTAATTCCCATGAGTACCAATGGTGAGATTTTCAGGCGTAAATACTAGATGTGATTCTCATTGCTGGCAATCTTCATGAACCTATCAAGGAGAACATTGCAATACTAATTGTTGCACAGGTGTTCTCAACACCGGCTAGCAACAAGAGAGAATGATTGTTTAATGCTCACTGTTGTAAGCTTGATCCAAGAGGAGCTTCTCAATGTTGTACATGTAGGTTGTGAGGAACAGAAATAATATCTATTTGTTCACTCTTTTCCTGTACCTATGAATCATCTGTCACTGTTCAGTAGAGTTCAGTTATGTGCTTCAATATTAGGAAGTCATCATCTTCTAAAACATATTGTTGCCTACTCAAACATATTTTGTTCCTTTTTGTTTCCAACAGATTATGTATAAAAAATACGTGTACAATAAGCGTCAGAATCTGCATTGGACCGTTCTCATATGCTCTGTCCACTTTTTCCAAAGAAATAACACTTCCGTAGTCCTACGCATTCGGAGATACGATTTAGTGTGCTATTACAATCCTCGTAATCGCACGCTATATTTTCTGTGGGAATTTCTGTCATCCATTCTGTTTTTGAGGTAAATATATCAGTTAATTTTTTTTGTTCTAGCAAGGTACCAGATACATGTTATGAAATTCTCCTTTGCCTCTTCCAGGTCAACCACATAGGCAGGAGGGAATTCATTTATCAATAAAAATAAATTTGTCTAAGGGGATGTTATCTTATCTCTCCAGTATAACCAAATGAACACTATGATGAACTTAACATCCCTCTGTCATTATTTCTCTAAGATGCAAGCGATATAAAATTTAATAAGCCCGTCGGTGAGCACGAAATGTATTGCTCTGTCCATCGGTGAGCACGAAATGTATTGCTCTGTCCATCGGTGAGCATGAAATGTATTGCTCTGTCCATCGGTGAGCACGAAATGTAAACATCCTTCTAAATAACATGTCAGCTATCTTGAGGCTGGAAATGCAAGCATCCTTCTAAATAAGCTATTAGCTGTCTTCGGGATGGAAATGCAAGCATCAAATCTTGATATAGTTAATAATGAAACATAAGCATCAGCATAGATTTTGCTATTTCTATTGATGTTGAAATCGATAATAGTTATTTTTAGAAAAGTATATGTGAAAGGATAACACGATATATACCATTTTGCATATCAGACAGCAAAAACGCCATGGTGGTCGCCCTGGGCTACGATTGTGTGCATTCCTTGCACTGGGAATCGGCATTGGACGACGTAGAGGGGTGAGGAGGGAGGACGATGTCATGGTCGGGAAGTGTGATAGCGCTGAGAGGAAGGTGTGGGCTGAACACCGTGGCGGGGAGAGATGGCAACGACATCAACAAGGAGAGCAGGTCGGGGAAATGAGATGTGAGTGTGAGTGTTGTGCACTCACTTTTATATCACTTGTTTACAATTAATATCCAGAAATGACTTGTTTAAAGTATCTAATATTTTTCACTATATAAAAGT